GCCCCTCCCTGAGCCTGGTTCTGCCGGAGGTTTCTTCCTGTTAAAAGGGAGTTTTTCCTTCCCACTGTCGCCAAAGTGCTTGCTCATAGAGGGTCATCTGATTGTTGGGGTTTTCTCTGTATCTATGAAGCGCCTTGAGGCGACTTTTGTTGTGTATTGGCGCTATATAAATAAAATTGAATTGAATTGAATTGAATTCTTTGTGCCCCCCTTTCCCTGTTAATGCCCCACCTGGCCCCCCAGGCAACACTTTGCTAGACCCGCCCCTGCACAGTTACCAGCTGTCAGCTACTTAGAAAAGGATCCTAGTGTTATTCGTCTCTCAGAAACAGTTCATAACTTCAACTCATTCCAGTCACCTAAAAGGTAAACCTCTTTCTCCATCACCTGTTCAGCTCTGATGATTCAGTAAGGACATCTCCTGGTTTCATCTTCATGTTTCCCTCGCACAACATGTCCAAACCGACATCATGGCCAGCAGCTTTTACAGCTGTGGCTCCAGCAAACATCAGCTGATACTAGAAAGTAATATTAAATAAATTCTAACAACAGCTGATCAAGCTTAAACGTGCTGCTGTTGTTTACCGCGACATCTGCTGGTTAGAATAATTAGAAAAGTGCAGATTGTGCATTGTACCTGTGCATTAAAAAGTAGACATGTAACTTCCAACAAGTTAGTATATATATAAAGTGAGAAAAGTAATGTGCAAGTTATAACAGTAGTAGTTATTTGGTTGATTAGTGCAAATTACAGCGCTGATGTAAACATCTATGTTTGTTGGGAGCAGTATTGATTGTACAGTCTGACAGCTGCAGGGAGGAAGGACCTGCAGAAACGCTCCTTCAACATACAACACTGTAAAAAATTAAGGATGTCACCACAGAGTCATTAAAAGTCTTTAAAAGCACTCCCTGGAATCCAAATGATCTCAGCCACCTCAGTAGCTAGAGTCTGCACTTCAGTCCAATGTCCACTCCCTGGATGTTCACTGGTGTCATTGTGGTGGGTCTGCATTTTCGGAAGTCCACCACCAACTCCTTGGCTTCCCGGTGTTGATCAGCAGGTGGTTCTGCTGGCACCAGTCCACAAAGTCCAGAGTCCACTGTCTGTACTCTGAGTCGTCCTCACCTGTGATGAGGCTGACTATGGCAGAGTCGTTGGAGAACTTCTCTAGGTGGCAGCGTGGGGAGTTGATGGAGAAGTCTGCAGTGTAGAGGGTGAAGAGGAACGGTGCCAGCACAGTTCCCTGTGGGGCCCCTGTACTGCAGACCAGCGTATTAGACACACAGCCCTGTGTCCTCACATACTGTGGGTGTCCTGTGAGGTAGTCCACGCTTGCTGGTTACATTGTAACCTTGGTTCTCTGAGTGAGAGACTCTTTCCACCTTTGTTCCGCTCAAACTATCACCGGTGTCACATTTGCACAGCTGTTTTATACGTGAGCTGTGGGGTGTGGCC